AGAAGGCTATATAAGTAACAAAAACTAGTCTTTGGAGTTGTTTTTTTTTTTTTTTTTATCTTTTGAGATTTGCTGAGCAAAAACTTTGAAGAGAGTAAATAAGAAAGTGAAAAATAACGAAAGAGATATGAGTAAGAAAAAATTATTATACAATAAGGTGATTTGTTTTGATGACAAAGGACAGCAAGAAGAAAAAGAAAAGCAATCGACATCTTTTTTTTGCTTCCAGACTTGATTTAAAAAAATTGATGGCCCACTGTGATTGAAGGACTGTACAGAACATTGCTTTGTTAGTTGTATTAAACCTTGTGTCCTTGACTGTTTTAAAACAAATACCATTCGCAGTGAAACTTCATGTAAATTAAAATTTTAGGCCCATCCTTTCATTTAACATATTAAATATAAAATAAAGTTTATAATCTTTTAAAAATAATCACTTTAATAGAAATAATAATTATATCTTAAAAATTTATTTATGTTCTTAAAACCGATATTTAATAAACACCGTGTCATTAAAACACTTAAATACATTTACACATAATATTCATAAAAACACAAAATAAATATTTTAGTATAAAATTTTGGTTTAAAACATAATAAATTACTAACTCAATTTTCATTAAATATACTTATAAAAAAACTAGATATTAATTTAATCTTTATTAAATAGCAATTTGTTTTAAACATGAACACCATTAAATCATAAATTTCTCAAATATTTAAATCGTTTTATAAATTTCAATATAATAAAAAACTAAAAATTTAATTCCAATTAAATACTTTAAATAAAACCTTGATTCAAGCTCATTGGAAGCTAAATTTGTGTTAAGCTCTTTAAAAGCTAATTGAAAATTAAGCTACTTGAAAGCCAGTTTTAGGTTTCATATGTATTAAAACTATCTAACCATTTTATTAACTTAAACAATTAAACCAATTTATTAAATCATTCATTAATTTAAACCTTAAAATTGAATTAATTATCACTAACGCACATATTTATTTACTTATTAGATTTGTCTCACAAGTACAATTAATTTACATGTCATAATAACTAAACCTAGAACACATAAGAGTGTCCAAAAACATGAAAGAAAAGAGAAGTTTAGGTCTTCTACACCAAACCTACATTTCAAGTACACATGTTGGCAAATCGAGCTTCACGTGACAATGACTTTCACCTTGAAACATGTCATCATTTATTCTTTTTTGCCCTACATCACAAGATAAAATGGTTAGCAATACATAGTAAGTGAAGTCTATGCATGAGATCCATGAAATGCAAATAAAAACCTTTCCTTTCATGCTTTGAAATTTATTTTCTTTCAACCGCACCTTACCGAATGTGTATTTACTCGAACCTCTTTTAAAACTATGTATTGTAAAAACACAAAAGCACAAGACACATTCCCTTTTCCTTTTTCTTTTTCTTTTCCTTTTCCTCACAAGAGGTTAATCATTCTCCTTGCTAATTCCTCTTGAATGTGTCTAACCATTTTTCTTGAAAGCATGTCATTCCTTTCCTTTCCTTTCCATGAAAACATGATAAAAGCCTTCCCTTTAATGACATGCATGTAGATGTAATGAAATGCATTTGTAAACAATAACATGTACCTTTTAAACATTAATATCAATATACCAAATAAGTGCATACACATATTTAACAATTACACAAACATAGTTCAAACAACATAAATTTAGAACTTGGCCTAAACATTACCTAACCAAGAACACAACCAACATAGATTATACACTTAGGTCGAAACTACCATGCATCAATAGGCATTCTTATTAATCATTAAGTACCCAAAATACTTATCAATAACTATAATTAGCCATGTATCCAAAATTCATCAACTAACACCTCAAATCATTAGTTAATTACCAACCATTAAAAACAATAATCCAATAACACCAAAGATCAATCATAGCCGAGTCACCTCACTTGGCATGTCATATATTCAATTAACCAATTTACATGTATCAAGACCAAATCACATAATTAAGCACTTTAATTCATGTTTACACAACTCCTTAAATATAAACTCATCATAATTATATGAAAGTAAATCAATCTTTTTCAGATTTGCACTTGGCCAAAACATCCAACCAACACAATCAAGGACAAATTCTCAATTAAACACATGTATTCATGTCCATTCAACTTCACAAAATGATTAAACACAACTAAAACACCAAATTAATTCAAACAATTAGGTCTGAATCTTGATAACCAAAACCACCATCAATTAGTTCTTAATTAACCATCAAACAACTTAATTCTTTTAAAAAAAATCATACTTTGAGATTGAAACACATCAATTAATCATAAATTAGACATGAGCATCCAACGACTTATCAAAAATAATTCAATTAAACACTATCCTAACAATTCTAACAACACTTGTATCAATCATCAAACAACATAACAATTAAAAATCTTGTGGTATAGTTAGAACTACACTTACCTTGGATTATGCTAGCTTTAATTATACCTTGAAAACTTTGAAAATTCCTCCTCCTTTCTTCAAAATTTCGGCCAAACAACAAATATCCCCTCTCTTTCTTTTAGCTATTTTTCCCTCTCTAACTCGCGGCCACACTTAGATTCTAGGTGAGTTTATGGTTTTTTCTTTGTTAGTTCTTAATTTTGTAAGGTTAATTGTGCTTGGTTTTGTCTTGGATCCTTCCTTCCATCTTCTCCTAATTATTGGAGAGAAATTAGCTTAGGATTTTGTCAAGTAATAAGGACACTTTTATGACTAATTTATTTTCCTTAGCTTATTAAATTTTCTAGAAAAGTCTCGGTATTTTCTTATGTTCTCTTCAACTTGGTCGAGCCACTTAGCCCTCTCTTCATTCTTTTTTTTCCTTGTAATTTCATGCATCAACTCTTGTTCTAGCCGAATTATTATCTTATCTAAGTTTTCAAAAAATTTTCATTTTGGTCACTTAAGTTTATAATTAATTCAATTAAGTTTCTATATTTTGGTCTCTAAACTTTTAATTACTACAATTGAGTCCTTATTTTTAGATTTTCTAAGTTATATAAGAGTCATTAAACTTGACCTCTTGATTCAATTGAGTGCTTAAATTTTTAATTATTTCAATTAAGTCCCTAGGTTTTTGTAATTAAATTCCTAGGTTACTCACACATTTATAGTATTTAATAATTTAAACGTACAAAGTTAAATACTTATTAATCCAATCACAATCCATAAATTTAATAAATGCATAATACATAAGTTTCATGGAAATATAATAATTATATTCGCATACTTAAATTAAATATTCACATATACATACATATATAAGGAGGTTTTTAGGTTATGGATATTACATAGCCCATCACCCCGGATCCACATCTAACTACCCACCATAGCTATTTCAATTGCAAATCTTGTTCGCAAGGAGTTTGTGTTATGAATGGGAGAACATTTTTGTGCAACTTTTAATAACCCAAAACTAGTATGCTCCTTCGACTCATCTAATAATCAATAGATGAATGATGAATTGATTCAAGCTATGCGAAAATGGGTTCTTCGGGACATATGCTTATCCAAGTCGAGCATCATCCTCCTCTATGCCTTAAGTTTGTTCTTTCCAAGCGATGCTACTGGGATTTCTTTTAATAACCCAAAAGAAGATTGGGTTCGTCAAGAAGATAAGAAGATTAAGGATTTTAAGGATTTGAATTGGATTTTTATTTTGGGAATTTTTTAGAATAGAAATCAGAATTTAATTAAAATTGAATGATATGTTGTTTGAATTGGGGAAATTTTAATTTTTAGCCACGTGGAATCCTAAAAGACTTTTAATCCTTGTTGTCGATCTATCCGTCACAACACATCATCCGAATTACAATTTTGCTCAAAGAAGTTCTCGTGTGCTAATATGGTTACTAAAAGTTTAATTCATGCATTTTCCATCCAATTTTGAAAAAACATACTAAAATGATTAACAAGTATTAAGTCGGTGATTTTATTGTACGTTTAGCCTAATTCAAAAAAAATAAATATGAATGACGTGAAACAATTTTAGCGATTAAAAAACATTTTATTTTCACTATAGATATCAACCTAAAATGTTTATCTTTAGAAAAATCTCTAGACCCTCTCTCTCTCTCTCTCTCAAAACTCTTCCACTCGCACATTGGAATTTGATCATCCACTTGCTTGCTATTTTTTGATTTTGACCGTCTATCTTTTCGTCACTCGACTTACCTTTTGGTAGCATTGCTTAGTTTTCCTTGTAGATTTTTACGAATTCTTCTACATTAGTGTACCGCTTTACTTATAAGTTAGAATACTAGATTTTTACATCCTGGCTAATCTATCGTAACATCGTTTAATCAGTTTTGGAAAAACTCCTCCCACGCAATACTATTACACAAGTTCAGTAATTTGCTACTTCAAAAGATGCATCCCAATGTCAAGATCCGTGAACAAATCAAAGCTTGTTAATGAGTTGACAACCAAACATCCAACATTTACGAAATCCAAAATAGAAGAAAACTTACAAAACAGAATCACATTGTTCCAAGTTACAAACGCAAACAACAACCCAATTAACACTGATCACAAAAAGAAAAAAAATTAACAACAATACCCAAATCCATTTCTAGCGAATTAGATCATCACTGAAAGCTCATATGGTAGGACCTGCAATACAAGTCATGGTGAGAGAAATGTTAGCGAAGTCACGTTGCAGTAGTCGTTATGACACAACAATACTACAAATCGCAATTATATGCAGTGATGATTGTAAACATGATATATAGAAGGAGAGAAATGCGTTACTGGTATGTATACCCTACCTGTCTATTGGCAGGCATGGGCAGCCCAATTAGGAGATGACACTGGCCCAGAGTTGGACTCAATTTGAGAAGGAGAATTGTTTGATCATTTCCATTCAAAACAAAAGCAAATTGGAACGTTTATGTTTGACGGCTTCCTCATTGGATTTATGTTTCTAGTTTTTTTTCTAGGAAGGACCCCATTAGCCTATAGATGATTGCTACCCATATGAAATCCATGGAAAATGACAGGGAGGCCGGCTTCAGCTCTCTCCCGTCCACCCACCTTGACCTGACCATGCATGATAGTAAGGTACGTCCAAGTAGAACAGGCTATAAAGCACATATGAAAAAATTTAGAAGATGCATCACCTTTTAATTTGTTGTTGTGTTAATTGATGCTTTGATACTATGGCATGTGTAGCATGTGAAACATAATATGCCAGGAACATAGCTTATACATAAGGTTACAGTACATCATTTTGTGGCATTAGTTGTTAATTGCTGAACAGTACCAAATTACACAAAAATTAAGATGCAGATTCTTGTCAATCTGGGCCACTCTGAAATTGGAGATTAGGTTAATTCCATATATATAAGAGAATTAGATAACTGTATCTTTTGGTCATGCTGATGAAATTGTTGGCACACCCAATAATGATTCGATGTTTAAACATAGTGTAATTATCCATTGTAGTAAAATGATTATACACAACTTGACAAATTATTAATTTGTTAAGTCGGATCTTGAATTGAGTAGGGTCATATATGCAGAGATTCACTGGATGCATATATGTATATCTATCACTCACATAATACATGCTTTAATTATTTTGTCTTTATATTTTAAATATACATTAATGTGAAGATTAAGTAAGCATGGATAAATTGTTTAATTGATAAAAATTATTTGGCATTATTCTGTCAAATGAAAGGCCAACTCATGATTTTGGTCTTCTATAGGGCATTAAGAATCACACAATTACTGATATTAAAGATGTGAGAAAACCAGATAATTTGTTGTTACTTCAACTTTTCTTGTTCTTTTTTTCATAATAAGAATAACTCTTTTTTTCTCTTCTACACATCTTAATAATTGTCACCAATCATATCCTTTTTTTGTAACCTTTGAGGCAAAGTATAAAGTTGCAAGTTTGCCATATAGATCAGCACACATAATTTACACAAACATTAAATCAAAAGGTTGCACTAAGGAATATTCAGAGAACAAGTACCTGATGGGGTTTGGAGCAGAGAAACTGATTCGGTTTCATTTCCCTTGCTAGCATGAGCATCCATAATGCCAGGCTCATTTTGACTGTCTGTTTTATTTCCCTTCCCATCAAATTCGGGGTGAATTTTTCTCTTCAACATCCTCCTCATCAACTGCAGTACACCACAGAATTAATTAATTGTTACTTTAAATTATACCGTGAAGAAAAGGGTATATAGCATTACACATGAAGAAAGAATCGGTGCTTACTTGGTTGAATTTTTTGATTGGACGAGAATCCTCTCCAGCGTGAGGACGTATGAGCTTCTTGGCAAAAGAAAGGCCACTCTTGGCACGAGTAACCGGCTTTTTATTACCTGATTTAGTCTCAATTTCAACAGAATCCGGCTTCTTTTTCATGTCAGAATCTTCCAAAAACAGTTCTGCCAGTGTTATTCTTTCTCCTTTCCTTTTTGCTTGTTCATGCTCAGCGATACTAGAGTTGGTTATGACATCATATGTCACAGTATTTGATCCATTTTCCTCAAAACTGTGGTCAAATGTTCCATATATCAAAGGGTTCACTTCTTCATCTTCAACATTGTCATCATCATAATAATCATCATCAACTGAGTATTGTTCTTGTTCCCCTTCTTCTTCTTTTTCTTCCTCTTCCTCCTCATCTTCTTCCCTTTCCAAAATGAGATACTGATCATTTTGTTGGTTAAAAGGTTTTAAAGGGTCAAGACCTAATGTGCCAATTGTCAAAATGCCATCTTTCCAACCATCAAGCACATCCACCAGGGCTACTTGTTTCAGCAATGCTTGCTTGTCAGCCTCATTTGTAATGGATTCAGCCTTTTTCACATTTCTAGCAAGCCCATCTGTTTAAAACAAATTTCTCATTCATTTAATTAGACAATTAGGTAACCAGCAGTCACAATCACACTTAATAAATGTAGCAACAAGTAATAATAATAATTTTAATGCTATCGATCAGCAGAACAACTTGTGCAAAACAGAGTGTTAATAATGATTGTAACACATCGTTGTTGGGGAATATTAAAAAAAAAATGAAGGGCTAACTAAAATCAACAGGCACTCATACACAATGATTATAATACTGAAAAAAAAAATGCTTGAGATTTGAGTCAATTGGACTTTTGCGCCATTTAAAAATTCACTTTGTTCTAGTAGATTAGGTTAAACAGCGACTCAATTATGAATATCAAACCTTTGATGGCGCCATGATGAAACCTCCTCTGCACCCAGTTGAAGATCTGTTTCCAAGAAACAACAACATATTAGTAACCAAAAGATCATCACAAGAACAACTGTGGAGGGTGAGAGTAGATGATCAGCCTGGCCATAAAAAAGCATCCAAATACATTTAAAGCGAGAAGTTCGGATAATGTGATCTAGTTCTAACCTTCATGTTCACAGCAAGTTGGCGAGGGAATTGGTACCAAGGAAATGCTAAGAGTGGGGGAAATAATTTTGAAGAAATTAAGAACTAAGAAGCTGGGGCCAAATTGAGTGTGTTAGGTGATAACACGTGTCCAAGATTAGTGGGGCCTATTATATAGCCTATGTTTTGGGGTGCATGGCATGTTTGATGAGCCACAATGTTGGGTCTTTCTGGCATGATCGATGTGTCAAAATTCTCGAAGTGATGTGCAGAATATGTATCCCTCTCTGTTGCATGCTAGCTACACATACAGAGATCTAGTAAAGGGCTCCTCCTTGGCTCTACCTAATCTCTTTTGCTTTCTTTATCGATTTGTTAACAATTTTTTATTCCTCATCTTCATGAACTGTTTTCTCTTTAGATATCCTTCTACCTCTACACTTGATGATACTTGCCAGCTGCCTTTGAGAATCTGAAGTGAAGCAACATTACTCATGTGTGTGCCCTGCTGTAAATGTCAGTTTCGTTAGTGAATTTTACCAGTAACCTAGTTGGTCAAGCAGATTCCGCTATATTATTTCATGGTAATGACGGTTGGCATAAGCATACGTACCCTGATTTTTATTATTTACCGCCATCAAATTGATCATCTTTTTTCAGCGATGATGTTGAAGTAGACTTTGTCCCGATGTACGTAAGCATTTGACTTGATATCTGACCTGCTAAAGTTTGATGTCAAGTAAAAAATTATAGCGTATAAATTGGCTAAGCAAGCTAAACCCCTGCAGCATCCTATATTAGAGTAGCTCTCTCTGTTCCCATGTGAGAGTTCAATCACATGTAGTATACGGGATGATGTCTAGTAGGACTAATGATACTACTTTTCTTTGTCTTGCAATCTACCTTTTCATCTTTGTATCTTATCAAACGAACTTTCGATTTGAAGAGAAAAGAGGAAGTCATAGTCCTCGAGGACAGATTTAGATTTAGCATGCAACTCCAGAAGTTACACTTTTGCAAATGACACCTAGTAAAAGGACAGGTTCACTTTCCACCACGAAGCACGCCGCAGTAAAAAACCTCATTTGTTTGCATTATCTATAGATGGTGACAACTATATTAATTGGAAATTCACTTAACATTTTCCCAGGTTATCGCCATGATAGCATGGAGTATGAATCGAAAGATATTAATTGATCAGTTCAGTTCACAGTACTCTGTATAGAAGTGACTAGGCTAGGGAGGGGATCGCCATAGGGTAACCCAACCAGTGCTGAACAGGAAAGAGAGAAACTTGCAGGAGCATCTATGGCATTTGCTGGCAATGACATGAAACTTTCTTTGCCTTTCCTTCTGTTTGGACCCAAAAATATCTCTTATAGGCAATAGACGACACTCCTCTCTCTATCATTCAGTATAAGGCATAGGTATATACACACACACACTAATTGAGTTAGGTCTCCGATTGCACAAATAATTAATATCCTTTTTGTAAGGCCTAACAATTGCCAAACTTCTTGTCTGTAAGGGCCAAGCTAGGAAAGTTGAAGGGAAACAGTTGGATTCATCTCCGCCAAGCTACTGTACGATAAAGGTGGAAGGGTGGAAAGCTAGAAGCGTGGGCACAATTGTCATGCAATGCTTGTAAGGATGCGCACCACTGTGTCAAAGCCCTAGTTCAGTTTCCAGTTAGAAGTCGTGATTCTGTCTTGGATGTTAAGATACGAATCAAATAAAAAAATGAAATAGAAAGATGAGAAAAATAAACAATGTAAAGATTTTACGTGATTCGTATCTTTATTTATAATGTGGACAACTAGAGTTATTAAAAAATATATATACCAATATTCTATAAACCTTTTGAAAGCTCCACCTCAAGCCCTGCCGGGGCATTGTCCCCTTGACCTCCGCTCGTTAACCGGCTCGCGAGACTTGCTATATTAGATCTATATAGTGTCTTATAGTACTAGCCCTCATCCAAATCGGTCTCCACAACTTAACAATCTCATACTTAGAGATTGATCTCCAAAATAGCACCAAATCCCTTATAATTGTCCGTTTTTCTCAACCAACTTCAAGTCCTCCTAGTGCGGTACCTTTTCATCACTAATCACGAAGGCAATTGAAACAATGCAAATCCTCGGGTTATCAATGGTAACTATTCAACATATCAATTGGATTCTCCAATCCTAGAATCTTGTTAAAACATATTATTCTATCATCCTAAATATGTTTGGTTCTTGCATGAAAGAATGGATTATTAGCAAGATAAATTGCACTCGATCGTCACTAAAAAGCTCATCGTCATCCTATGCCTCACCCATTTCTTTCAAGAAGTTCTTCAACCAAATCATTTCTTTCTCGGCTTCGAAATAGCCATATACCCGACTTTAGTGGTGGAAAAAACAACACACTTTTGAAGTCGAGATACCGAACTTATAACGGTACCACCAAAAGTAAAAACATAACTTGTTGTACTTTTTCTATTGTTCAAATCATCACCTAAATCTACATCAATAAATTTTTGTAAAACAATATTATTCTTCTTACAATAAAGGGTCATGCTTGAAGTACCTTTCGGATAATGAAGGATCCACTTTACTTCTTCCTAATGCTTCTTTCTCATATTAGTCGTGTACCTACTAACAACTCCTACTACATGAGCTATATTAGGTTTTGTGCAAACTATAACATACATTAGGCTTTCAAGTTTTGATGCATAAGGAATTTGTAGAGATTTATTTTTAGTCTTCACTTGTCTTTGGGTGATTGCTTCTTTAAAAACTCGAGGTGGTTTCCTAAAAGAGTGCTTTTGTTTTTTCCATCCCGAAGGTTGAATCTACTCAGGCACTTTTTAAATGTACTTTTATTGAGATAAAGTCAATGTACCTTTTGACTTATTTTTATTCATTCTCATCCTAAATATCTCTTTTGTAGGTCCTAAGTCTTTTATCTCAAGCTATTTTGCTAGCTTTTGCTAGAGTTTATTGATCTCTTTCAAATTAGATCTTGCAATAAGCATATAACGACGAGTGATCCAACTTGCATCTCTCGAAACAATTATTACACATGAACCAATCAAACTTTTTGTACCATTTTTTGGGAGCTTGTTTCAAATCATACGGACTTTTCTATAATTTACACATAAGTTTTTCCTTTTTTGGAACTTTAAAGCATTCACGGTTATACTATATAAATGTCTTCTTCAAAGTCATCATATAGGAAAGCATTTTTAACATCTAACTCCTCTAGAAGCAAATTTTCTACAACAACAATACTTAACACTAGCCTAATAGTAGCCATCTTGACTATATAAGAGAAAATCTCGATGTAGTTAATTTTTTTTTTTTTTTTTTTGTTGAAAGCCACTTTACACCTAGTCTTGCCTTGTATCTTTTACTACCATCATGTTTTACTTTGACCCTATATGCCCACTTATTGTGTATAGTCTTTTTCTCTTCGATAAAATAGTTAAAATCGATATCCGATTCTTTTTAAGGGACCTCATCTCTTTTTCCATGGCTACCTCCCACTTGATAGAATCTTTCATCTGTATTGCTTTACCAAAGAATTTTGGTTCTCCAACATTAGTAAGAAGCAAATAATTTAAGAAAGGTGAATACCTTTAAGTGGGTCTACACACTCTTTCAAATCTTTTTGGTTGCAAAGTAGGAGTTACTAGTTCAACTTCAACTTCTCAATCTTTGTCATTTGAATTTTAAATCCCGGATATATCATCCTCTAAAATCTCCTTCAAATAAGTTTTCTCACTTGTTTCGACTTGTTCCTTGTACTTATTAGAATTTATCCTAGGCCTATTCTTATACAATTTATTTCATTAAAGGTCATATCTACTATGTCTTATGATTTTTTTATTCGATCATCCTAAAATTGATAACCAAAATCATCGGAACCATAACCAATGACGTAACACTTTTTAACTATGAGACAAACCAAAGGTTTTCAAATATGTGAAATTTACCTCATTTGCTAACCATACTTCCTTAGGTAATTAGAGGCCCAATGGGACCGAAGGTCCTCTATTTATAAGGTAAGTTACTATATTCACTACATCGGTTTAGAATGCTTTAGGCAAACCGGAATGCAATCTTATGCTTTTTACTTGCTCATTTAAAGTTCTGTTTATCTTTTTAGTGACACCATTTTGCTCGATGTCATAGAAATTGTCTTGATTATTCTAATCCTATTATTTGAATAATAATATTTGAATTATATGCTAATATACTCTCCTTTATTATCCGACTTCAAGGCTTTGATCTTCGGATCATTATGATTTTCAAATTCAATCTTCTACTTTTTGAATACAAAAAATTCATTAGATTTATTTTTTAGAAAATAAACTCATACTTTTTTATGGAGTCGTCAATGAAAGTGAATAGTGTGAGCATCCAAGAAAAGTCACAAGGACTAGTCTCCATACATCGGTATGCACCAATTCTAGCTTCTCTTCCTTTAAGGATCCGTCAAACTTTAGAAAATAAACTCTCTTTTACTTTTCATAGATATAGGCCTCACATAAGCCAATATCAACATGTTTCAATTCGATAATTTTCTTGTTGATGCTAACTGCTTCAAACCCTTTTCACTTATATGCCCAAGCCTTTGGTGCCATCATATATCACCATCAAAATTAGTCAACGATTTTGTATCCACAGTTATAGTAATCGTATACAAAGTCTTAACCTTACCGTCTTGTGCTATAACCATATTCTCCTTCGTTATCTTCAATGATCCACTCTTAAATATCATTGTGTAGCCAATATTATCGAGTTTATTCATAGAAAACATATTCTTCATGAGACTAGAATATGTCTAACATTCTACAATTTTCATTGTATTTCGTTGGCGATTCGATACTAATCTCATATTTTCTCACAACGTCCGGAGGTTCATTATATGCAAAATAAACTCGCTTAAAACTTCCTACAACATATTTTTATAGGAAATTTTTATATGGAGTAGAATGAAATGATATATTTTTTAGGTTCATCATATCTAAAACTTAC